GTAGAAACAATCTGAAAACTTCAGTGTGTTTAGTGTGATTTTTTAGGGGGGAGGGGGAATAAAGCGCAACACTGTGGAGTGCAGAAAATTTTTATCAACTTCATCCAACAGCTGGCTAGATGACAATGCTACAATGTCAAGTGATTCATAACGAAAAACTCAGTGAAAAAGACTTTGAAGGGAAGCCAGGAGTTAGACAAGGTTGTCAGTCTACTATCATCGATGATAGTCCTAATTTTGGTGGACTGGAGTTGTGAAGAACACTGTATGTGGAAAGACAGAAAGAGGGCAGGAATACGTTGGCCCGATAAGAAAAATCTAGAAGGACTGGATTTCACGGATGATTTATGTCTAGTGTCACACAAACTCGCTCTCGAGGTGAAAATAAACAAGTTAGGAGAAGAGGCTGGCAATAAAGTCAGGGCTTTAATTGCACACAGAAAAGACGGAGGTGATGAAAACAGCTAACCAACGACAATAACAACAACCAGAACCAATCATTATCAATGCAAGAATTCCGAAAGAGGTCACTCCCTTGACTTATTTAGGAAGCTTTGTTTCAACTACAGGCGACAGCACGGATGGTGATGACGTGAAAGCCAGAATCGGGAAGGCGAGACACCTTCATCACTCTGAAGTCAGTAAGGAAATCTTATGAACTCAGGATGAACAAGAAAATTTGGATTTTCAACACCAATGTTAAGTCATTATGCCTCCGACACTTGTAGTAGGCAATTCTAACAGGGAAGACAGTTGTGTTAACCCTGCAACGAAGATTGAATGGTCAGTCAGAAAGAATCAAAAATAAAGAGGTCTGACAGAGAACTAACCATGAACCTATTGACCAAAAAATCTACTGAAGAAAATAGAGATGGATCGGACACATCTTGAGGAGGCCATTGGGTGAAATCCCGGGCTACTCCATCGCTCAAGTGGAACTGGAGTGAAAACCGACGGGTTCACAGTCAGGGCGTGACATGGAGGAGGTCGTGTGAGGAGGAGATAAGGGACTATGGGCAATTGCGGGATCAGATGAAGAGAACTGCAGAGAACAGGAAAAAGTAGAGATGTGCTGTTGAAGCCCTATATTCTACTTAGAACTCAAGGGAATAATAAAAGTATAATAATAAGAAGCAACCAACTAACTATCAACCATGAACATGCGATTATAAGAAAAGGTATTTCAAGGCCACTACGATACACTGTTATCAACTAATTTCATACCATCTGTCCACTTGGAGTGTTATGAGGGCTTTACCTATAAGTTATACCAACTGTGCCACCCATCATAAACTCTTCAGAATGCCGAAAAAAATCCTATAAGTCACTTTCAGGTACATCTCTTCAGGATGATAATAAAAGTTTCAACTCCATTCATATGATGAAGATCTTCGGGAATCTAGCAGTTTATCAGGAACATTCTACTGCTATGTAGTGTAAAAAGGCACAATTTCACGAGAAATCTCATCAGAGGCCCAGACAAGTTGAGTCATACAAGTTACATCTGAGTAGAGGTTAATTACTGATAATTGCTTTGCTATGCTGTGAATTAGCAGGAGTTGTGAGGCACGTGAAACTGGATTCTCCTTCAGTAGCTGACTACTAACATGCTTGGAATACATCCTAAAGACGCTGGGATTCTACTGTTGAGAGGTCTGAAATTAGGAATAAACAACTTTATGTGTCAGTATCACTTGCTGGATGACTTTTCGAACACAATTTATCATTCCTAACCACATGACCAGTAAATACACAGATTCGAAACTCAATATTTATACTTCTCCTTCCCCTTTCCTATCTATCGTAAGGGTAGCAGGATTTTCCAGATGTTCAGAATATGTGTTGAACCATTCCCATCGATTCGATGAACACACTTGTATTTATCATTCTCTTTCTCCAACCCGCTTCAATAGATTTCAGTGTTGTAACCTTGTTCCATAACGCACGATGATTTCATGTAAATGCATATAGTGCTATTTTTTTAAGTAATTGTGTTCTCTGAGCTGGATAGTTAATTTGCGAAGCTTTCATTGCCCACCCTACTAGGCAACATCTTCAGCGCATATTTCAATTTGAAGCGTCTTTTGATGAAATACCATTCTTTTGGAAGACGTCTATGAGATATCTTTCTTCAATTTTCCTTAAGGTGGGAGTGCTACGATGAGTCCTGACCCTCTTTAATAGTGTTTGCATAAAATTCCTTTTGTGTGTCATTGGACTGTTGCTGTTGTAATTCAGTATTTGGTCTATGTGATTTGATTTTCTATAAACTTGAGTTTCTAATTCCTCTGTGGTTGTTCGCTTGACTAAGACGTCCAAAATACAAAATCCCAATCCAACCTATCATACCAAAAGCCCCCAAGGAAAGCACAAAGAAAATCGCCCTACCATATATAAAAGATATATCAGAAATCACTGCAAGACTCTTCAAACCTTTAGGAATTTAAGGTCGCACACATACCAACAAAATCACTTCACTCAGTTCTATGTCAACCAAAAGACTCAAAAGCGAAAGAAGATAAAACCAACATCATCTACAAAATAAGTTGCAACGACAGCGAAAAACACTACATTAGCCAAAGTGGATGTCCCTTTCGTCTTCGTATCCATGATCATAAACTAGCCGTCAAAAGACATGACATCCACTCCCTCATATCACTACATACAGACAACCACGGACATCGATTCGACTGGGAAAGACAGAGGAAACACCAAGAATGCTGGAGAATTTCTAGAAGCCTGGTATTCCAGTGAGTCATCAATCAATAGACACATCGAGATAGACGAAATTTACCACTCGATAAGAAGGAGATCTCACACACAAAGGGTCAAATTTCAGATCAAGGAAACAATCAATTCCAAAACAAGTAGCCTAGAGGGTGTGGAAACACGAAAAAAACCAATCATGAGGTTCAAGTTCACCAGGAGAGATGATTAATAAACTCGTCGAGGAATCTGAAAGCTCACTTCAACGAATTGAAGTATGCGCTGAAGCGATGTTGCCTAGTAGGGCAATGAAAGCTTCGCAAATTAACTATTCAGCTCAGAGAACACAACCACATCAAAATCATCCACCTGAGCTACAAATCTTCTCTATCATATATAGTGCTATAGCTGAACTTTTTTTAAGTCCTACTAACTTACGTTTTTTAAGCTTTCCTGCTCCACTAATTGGACTGACTAATCTAGCCTACTATTCTGACCCATGTATTTAACCTCACAATCGTTGCAGTGTATTACGTAATACATTCATTACTTTGCGTTCCTAATGAGATATAGGGCTTCAAGCTCCCACCTTTGGAGTTTCAAGAGAAGTTTTGTTTTTGAGAAATCGGGTTGTTAACCTCGCGTCTAGCATCCCCTCTTTACTGAGATTAATGCCGGATAAGCGAGGTTCTGCAGCGTGTCAACTAGATACTAGGTAAAACAGATTATTTATTTAATGCAGTCCACAGAGTGATTCAACCAACTTAATTTCAGTTTTGCTTTCTGACTACTTGCAATTACTTAGTAGCACGATAATTTAAACTAAAAATTACCGGATATAAGTATGTTGCTTTGCTGTTTACTAACCTGGAGTCGATTGGATATCAGTTTTCACAAATAATAGCATAGTGGTAACGTCTCTGACTACAGCAATGAGTGACACGGGTTCGAATCTCCTCAGAAGGGATATGAGGCCTTATATTCTTTCTTATTTATGTAATCATCATTAGTTTCACAATTATTTTTATTTCATTTTTGGCCTTTTCTGATCTTCCTAATGAATTTTATAGGATAATTATTTGATATCAACGCTTCTTATATCTGTTTTATTTCATCATTTAGGTTTTTTATTGTTCTACTTAGTGCTACTGCTTGGTTTGTTAAACACTTAACTAAGCCTGTCTTAACGGTTAACGGATGAGATGAATTAAAGTCTAAATATCTATTAGCAAAATGTGTCGGCTTTTTATAAACACCAGTGTACAGTTTACCTTTTCCTGTTCGTTTTATTTTACAGTCTAACATAGCCAATTCTCCTTGTTCATTTTCTGATTCAAATGTGAATTTTATTCACTCTACTAGTGAGTGTATGGTTGTGTGCCAAGAAGCTAGAGATATGTTCTGTTTTTAACACTGTGAAAGTGTCATTCACATATCTCTACCATATTTTTGGAGTAGGATTAAATGTATTAAGAACAATATTTTCCCATCTGTTCATAAAGATATCTGCTACGCTAGGGGATATTGGTGATCCCATTGCTACACCTTCTGTTTGTCTATATATTTTGCCTTGAAATTTAAAGATAGTAGATGTGAAGAATAACTGAATCCCTAAAATAATTTCTTCAATGGACAGCTTTGTTCTATGATTGAGTTCAGCATCTGTAGTTAGTTCCTTTTTAACTGCTTCTAAGGCCATATTGATTGGTATGTTAGTATAAAGACTGGTTATATCAAAACTAACCATTTTTTTAAAACATTTTTCTTTAACTTAATTTCATTTAGTTTCTTTTTCATCTCATATGAATTAGTTAGTTAGCCTAGAGTTTGAACGATTTCTAATGGGGCTTAATATTAGAGCTAATTGTTTTAGTAATTCATAAAATTCAATTCAAGCACACTACAACATACTGACTAGTTACTTATTTTGACTGTAAAAACACTCGTCTTATTTCCCGCCTGATTGTATTTGATTGATAACACTAATATTATTATTATTTCTGAATGTACATTATCTCATAATGATTTTTATTCAAATATGTAATCATCAATTGCACTCATGTATATAAATGAAGGAAAAAAGTTGTGTGAGTGGTGCCTTGATATGATTATGAGCAGTAGTAATTTGTGCTCGAAACGTGGTCATCAGTAAATATTACTGTACAACACCATTGTGTGATTTATCGAAATAAAAATTTTATCCTTAATGGAGCTATACTCTACCACAGTGCTCAAGTTTTATGCTTATATCAAATGAGAATAATACTGCTGAAAAGAGGAGCCACACTCTTCACCAAAACATCTTTTCTTTTTTGTACGACTCAATGAGAACATTTTTTAAGCTAATTAAGTTAATAGTACAATGAAAGCCAAATTTCTTCAAGTTATGTATGTATTCATCACTTTTCTGCCACTATCTAACAGTTTCTGAAAACTTACTGCATACATATATACGAGAGAGAGAAAAAATACACAAGAATCGAAGAACATTTCTTAATATACTGACTGACTGACTGGAAATACTTTGAAAAAACAATGCGTCCAAAAAGAAACAAGTGTGTATACAAACTAAACGAAATAAGAATTACAGCTGAACACCAATCGCACCCCACTCCAATCCACCCCTCCAAAAAAAGAAAAGCAATTAAAACAAAACTGAAAGAGGACAAAGTAAAGAAAAAGACTTGACAAAAAAACAACTCTTTTATCAATCAAGAAACTTGACTATACAATAGTAGATAGGGTGTAGCTAAAGGCTCAGAATAAACATCTTCTAGCGTTGTATACCCAGCATTATCATCATCGAATAGTATCCATTGCATGCCAACTTTCGCGACACATGTGTAATGCCCACAACTAATAGAGACACCACTGTGTACAATCATTGCTTGAAGACTGTATGTCCTTGAATGACATTTAGTAGATTTGCTTGTTGAATCTTTCGATGTAGATAGATCATTATTACCATTCGTATTACTATTATTATATGCATAAGAAGTTTCTGTATTTGATGCCGACACTGTCACTGATAACCGTTCTGGTATACGTACACGATGCATAATTTTTGAACAGGTTTGTTTTACACGACAATATCGAAATAAATTTAAGCATATTAATACATGAGATGAAAGTTGTTGGAGTTTTAGGCTTCTTGCCTGTAGAGTACGTTTACCGCATGATTCACATTGAGTTGATGAGGCAACATGTTCAATTTGTGTAAAATGTGCTTGTATTAATGTGGATAAATCAGTTCCAGGATCAACGATTTGATCATCTGTTGAATCGGAATCATTCGACTGGAAAATAAAATAAACATTACGGATATATACGTATACAAAAATAATAAAGTTAAAGATTTATAATAATAATAATAATATTTTTATTGTTTCCTTTACTTCCTAGGGGAACATAGGGCTTCAGCCGTGCGTCTCCATTGCCTTCGGTTCTCTGCTTGAGTCTTTACCTGGCTCCAAGTCTGCCCACACGTTCTCACCTCCTCTTCACATGACCTCCTCCAAGTCACCCTTGCACTGACGACCAACTCGCCGCTTCCCTTTCGGATTCTACCCGAGCGATGGCTTGTCTTGTGTTGTCACTTGATGGTTTGTTTCCTCAGAGTATGGCCAATCTACCTCCATTTCTTCCTGCCTATTTGTTGCACAATCGGTTCCTGATTAGTTGGTTCGCTCACTGCCAGAGATCCCCATTGCTGATATTTTCTGGCCGGCCATCTGATCATGAGTATTGAGCGAAGAAAACTGTTGATGAAGGTACGTAGTTTGTTTGAGGTGCTCTGCATGACGCGTAGTGCAAGTCTCTGATCCGTATTGTAGAACTGACTTCACATTGGAGTCTTTTTTGTATGCCCCAATGAATGAAAAAGAGCAAAACGATATTGTCGTTGTTTTTACTGACGTTTCGCTGTTTAATGCTGCTGCTAGTAGCTTTATCAAAGTAGTATCAAACCAGAATTTACAAAATCTCAGCTTATATCATATGACAACTTAATCATCTTTCTTGATATAAGTATAAAGCCTGGGCATTGTGGTAGAGCATAACTCCATTGTAGATAAGATTTTATTTCGATAAATCACACAGTGTTTTTATACAGTAATATTAAGTGATGAACACCTTTCGAGCGCAAATTATTGCTCATAATCATATCAAGTTACTCACACAACTTTTAACTTCATTTATTCATGTATATAAATGAACGACTACGCACCATCAATTGGACACTGGTCATATTGTAGACAATCCAAAGGTGTCTAGAATAATCAATATGCAAAATAAGCTACCTAGCTTGCTGTGGTTTTGCTAAGGCAGTTGCCATGAAACGATTAAAATCACATCTGTGTATACAGAAAGAGACAGTGGGGAATCTCATACTGCCTTGGTGATGATAACAAAATATACAAGTTTTATTACGTCATCTTTTGTCCTGTTTAGAAAACTTTATTTTTCGTCTAAACATGATTCACCCTTACCCCCTCCTTTTTGACTACTTTTTTCCGTGGTTACGTCACCTATTACTTGTTATACTCTTTCTAGTTCAACTTCGTCTTTACCCATAAAAATCTCTTGAACTTTGTCCTTTTGTTTCCAAGTTTAGTCGTCTAATTTCCCAACAAAATGATCGATCCTTTTCACCCTTAATTATTTAACGACATACATTATTCTGGACTAATATTACTCTTAGTTTCTACGAATTACTCCTTGTTATCGTGGAAAGTGTATGTTGAAATCTTTAATTTAAGATATATATTTTGTATTGTTCAGCTTGTAGCCAATTGAGAGGAATCCTCGAAATAATAAATTTGTCGTTCTTGCTTTGTTCACGTTTATTAATGGGAAGAATTGTTCACTCCTTGTGATTTATAATATCCAATAAAATTCTATTGGTTAGAGAACCATTGGAAAGCCAACTGGGAGTACTGGACAGCTGTTTCGCCCTAGTCCAGGACTCCATCAGTACGCACCCACCGCCGGGGTTCGAACCCAGGACCTTCTGGATACAAGGCTAGCGAGGTCGTTGACCATTAGGCCACTAGGACCCGATCCAATGACCAGCCCATGAATTCTAACTTCTGCCGATTCATGACATAGCGCGACCACTTCACAGTGTCTTCTTCGATCAGTTACTGCCTCACCTTCAACCTGCTGCACCCTGCTGGTAACGACTTCCCACTAGAACCCCAAGTTAACTGCCTGAATAGAGCCAGTCGCTAGTGAGCATCAGTGTAATTTTCAAGTATTGATTGGTGATGAAATCCTCCAATCAATCAAACAAAATCCCTACAAAACCAATACTAGAAAAAAGAGGGACATAGTAAATATGTAAGCAAATATTTCATATTGTTCCAATAGGCTTACATCTCTGACTGAATAGCTGACTTGCCTCAACACACAGAACACTTTGCACAAAAGTAGCAGTAATTCAAGTTGCCACACTCTATATACCAACACATAAAGGATACTGAAGATTACAAAAAGCGAATGTGACTGCATCAGTGTGAAAGATTTCAGGCCATTTCACCAATTGTCTCCAGTTGTCATTGCTTCTTAGAATCCCGACAACCTCAACCAGCTAGCTACACAGTCTTGTTATGGAGTGACCGAGTATAAATATGACTAACGAGATACAACGGACGATGACGGAACGACTGGCACCGCTTAGTAGTTAAATTTCCCTGATCCAAAGAGAAAATTTAGAAGACCCACACGTAGACGAAGGATACGTATATTATTCCAACAAGGAAAACTAACTGCCAGTAAAGAGTGTGAATGTAAGAGTGTCAATCAATTGTACAGTACAACAGTGTATAAGAAAATAACTAACATACATGAACCAATAAGATAGATAAGTAGTTTTTCTTACCACCAACTGGATTCTGATTGGTTGCAATGTCATGTGACAAAGGTTATTCATTGGTATTTACTTGATTGACAAACAAGACAGATTGTGATTCCATTATGGGTAAAATTTATTTTGATTAAGTCTCGCTGAGTTTTTTATATACAGTAATGTTTACTGATGTGACAACGTTTCGAGCACAGTTTATCACTGCTCACAATCATATCAGGGCACTACTCACACAACTTTCTAACTTCGTTTATACAATTCCATTATTTTTCATCGCTTGATTTGATTGGTAGAAGTATTTTCCATATTTCCGGTATGAGTGATGAGGCATTCCTATGGCATGTGCTGGGTGTAGACTCGATGAACAAGGATTCAGTAATCAACCTCTCTCGCTCTTCACCTATCTAGATTACTTTTTAGAATTTTAACCCTCTCCCACTCTATTGTGTGATCGTGTTAATGCATGTAGTGCAATTGCTGAGCTTTTTTCTAAATTACTTGTCTTCTCGGGGTCAATCATTCTAATCTCAGCTAAATTCTTATGTTCTGACAATCTGACTACCGTCGACCGACTAGTTCGATCTATGCAGCTGACCTCAACCAGTCATTGCAAGGTATTTTGTAAACTACATTATTTTGTCTAATTGGGTCAACAGAGTCCTTTAACCTACAGAGGTTGTCCAACCTGAGTGAGTTTGTAGGTTTGAATGCCACCACCCTAATTCCTGCTTTATTAAGAATCCTACGTAGGGTCTCAGATGTCCCCTCCCTCTTATATGCTAAAACTACTGTAGATGCCTTATATTCTCTCTTATTTATGTTATCATTATTAGTTTCACCATAATTTTTATTTTCACCTTTTTTGATATTCCTAATGAATTTTATAGGATAGTTACTTAGCACTAACGCTTCTTCTGTCTGTTTCATTTCATCGTTTCGGTTTTTTGTTGTGCTACTTAGTGCAATAGGAATGACTAACCACTCATACCGGTAATATGGAAAATACTACTACCAATCAAGTCAGGCGATGAAAATTAATGGAATTATAGAGACGAAGTTAGAAGGTTGTGTGAGTAGTGCCTTGATATGATTATGAGCAGTAATAAACTGTGCTCGAGACGTGTGGTCATCAGTAAATATTACTGTATAACACTATGGGGCTTTACCAAAATAAATTTTGCCCGTAGTGGAATTATACCCTTCCACAGTGCACAAGTTCTATTCGTATATCAATAAGAAGTCATCACTGACTAACGATCAACGGACAATATATCAGATTGGCAAACAAAGCAGACATCATGTCGTCACTACATATCAAGTCTAACTATACCTGCCTACATAGTCAGCTCAAACTCAATGTTAAAAATTTCACGGACTGATTCCATGTTGTTTTGGTTTGACCACACCACTAGCTCTTTTCCAACTTGATCTCCTATGTCAGCTAACATTTCCTGTCGATGAAGTCGATGGCCAGGCCTTGCGTAACACAACGTGTCCTAGCCAACTCAATCAATGTGACTACTCCACAACCTGGTCGACTGACTTTCCTCCATTACGTAACACCCGACGCCTAACCTCAGGATTACTTACATCCTACATCTCTGCACATCAAAAGCTCCAAACACACATATGTGCATCCAGAAAAGTAGAAATAAGGCCAGCCGGGATTTGTATTCCATGTTTTGTCCAACTGTTTACGAAAGCGTACAATTCAGTAAGTGATCCCAACTTCTATAAAGCCAACTGTACAATTAACTCAAATGTTTCAGAAACACTTTGCTTTATATGAAGATGAAAATCGACTATTTTTGATTGGACACTAGTCAGTAACTAGTGTGATGTGTCTAGTCTTTTGTTTGGTGCAGACTGAATTCTATCACACACAAAATAATCGAGCGAAGAATATTCTTTTCGATAAATTCCTCTTCCAGGCTCTACAATTATATATATGTTTATATACATAGAATATTTTAAATTAGTTATTGAGAAAGAAAAAGACTCTAGTATTTCATTTTTAGACGTCCTTTTGACCAGAAAAGAGGACAGCGCAATAAGAAGAAGTGTATACAAAAAACCTACATCAACGGGTCAGTACACACATCTTCTCAGCTTTGTGTCCTTGAAATACAAAAGCAATCTAATAAAGTGCTTGGTCTACAGAGCAAGAGAGATTTGCTCGGACGAATGTCTTGACGAGGAACTTAACAATATTAAACGGTTGCAAAGTGAGAATGGTTATCTCGAAAAGTTTATTGAAAAGAATCTGAATCTGAAACCAAAACAGCCCAAGTTACCAACAGTTCCAAAAAAGACCTTGTTCTTACAGATGCAGTTCCTAGGAGACAACACCAATGAGGTACTAACACAGCGCCTTAGAAATGCGGTAAAAACAGCATTCCCTGCTGCCGAATTACGCTGTGTTTTCAAAACCACTCCTCTCTTGTGTTCGGGGGTAAAAGACAAACTGCCTAATTTCGCCTCTTCCATGTGTTATACCAATTTAACTGCTCCCGTGGAGCCAGTTACATAGGCCGTACAATTAGGCGTGTTTCTCGTCGAATTTCCGAACATCATCCTGAGTTGTTGGTTAAGTAAAGGACAAACAAAATCTATTCGCAGCGCTATTCTGTCTCATCTTGTGGATACAAAACACAAGATTGATGTTAACCATACTTTCAGGGTCATTTACCGCATACCTACGAATCTCAATTTTGCCTTAAGAGTTTGACTACTAAATATTCCTGAGGCTATGGGGATCCATATTAATAAGCCTAATTTATCCATCCAAAAGAAGTTATTTCAGACATTATCATTACCTTGGCCATCCAGGTTTGAATGATCCCGAATTTTTGTGCAATTTCCCTAATTTTAGTTGATATTCTATTCGCTATTATATCTTTATTATTATTATTATAATTTAAGCATCTTCAATGAACTGTAATTGCATTGATCATACTTTACAAATCTATATTATTTAAAAAAACGCTAATATTGTTATTAACTACTAATTTAAAATATTCTGTGTATATAAACATATATATAATTGTAGAGGCAGAAGCGGAAATTATCGAAAAGGATATTCTTTGCTCCATTATTTTGTGTTTGATAGATGTCTGAATGAATATTTTTGCTATATTGAATTCTATCAATCAAGTTTGCAATATGGCTGACCATCAGGGTGTACTTTGAACTGCTGATATTAGATGGTTGGAAGCAATCGGCCGCAGGAAGCCTTGCCTAACTGACCTAGGTTTCGTGCTACTTGGCACTCACTCACTCACTCACCAGTCAGCAAGGCGTATCTGCAACTAGTACGAAACCTAGCTAGATCCAAGACTTCCTGCCGATTGACTCCAACCACCTAATACAAACTAACCACACTGAAAATTAATTAATTAGAACAGCATGTATGATAATGTATAAAGCAAAAGAAGAAAACTTACTTCAGGAATCTCGTTTACAAAGCTTGAATTCTCCTTAACCGATTGTTCTTCATACAATAACAATTCTTTTGGCTTTGTTAGCGGAACATACAAACACGTAAATTGTTCTTGTCGAGAACTTGAAACATGCTGACATTCTACACAAGATGTATGCCTTAATAATGTCCCACCAAATAGACGTGCAACAACAGACGATGAAGCACTATCATCATCATAATTGTTGGAATATTTATCGTCTTCTTTTTTGGTAGATGTTTCATTTGATGATGAACACGTCTGATTGTTTATATTGTATGAAAAGGGAGGATTTTCCACTGTGCAAGTGTTGATTGAAGGTGCAGTGCTTTCATTAGGCATAAAACTAGATGAATCACTAAAGTAAATAATAATAATAATGGTTAATGACCTGTGAATATGATAAAAGCAAAAAGTTAAAATCTGCCTAAGTTACTGTAGAAGGATTCCTGAGACACACACCTAACTAGTGTAGACAATTTATCATAAACATCATCATCAACATCCCAGCTACTTAGAATGTTGATTGCTGTTATAACGGAGTGGTGCTGATTTCCAGTTGTCGTCTGACTGACTGACTGACTCTGCCTCACTGACTGACTGACTGACTGACTAACTGACTGACTGACTGACTGACTAACTAATTGACTGACTGACTGACTGACTGACTGACTGACTGACTGACTGACTGACTGACTGACTGACTGACTGACTGACTGACTGACTGACTGACTGACTGACTGACTGACTGACTGACTGACTGGTTTCAACATAGAACTTTGCACCGATGTCCAGCAGTTCGAGTCGCCACACTACCTCCATGAACCACACAAAACAAGGGAAGAAAGCAAAAAGAAACGCAAAATAGAGACAGTAAACAGAGATATGAGGTAAAAAGGATAGTAATAACGAAGAACAACCTAGTTTCATTTAGTATTATAAGTCACAAGGAGTGGATGCATCTGAGCCAGCCATTGAGAACAATTCTGAGCTATATCACCAATTGTCTTTAACCTTCATTGGTTTTTAATGTCCCGAGGACCCCAACCAGTCAGGAAGTCTACATCTCCCTACGTTGCTGGTTTAAACTAACTGTTGTCGATTTCACTGACTGATGAAGCCATGTTTTGGTTTGACCACCACTGGCTCTTTTCCAACCTGATCTATCCTAAGTCAGCTAACATTGCCCGTCGGCCGAGGAAGGCGATGGTTAGGCTAGGCATACGTAACACATGTCTTAACTATCTCAATCGGTGCAACTTCACAACCTAGCACTCGACCGATACCCAACCTCAATATTTCTCACCCTGTTATACCACTTCAAACGGGAAATAGAACGCAGATACCTATGATCAAAGACAGCTAGCTAGGCTTTTCATGTCTTCTACTCTCAACGGCCATGTCTCACAGCCATACAGGAGGACAGAGCGAACTGCCGAGCAGTACGCATGCCCTTTGGTAGATAGCCAGACGGATATCACGTCTACAAGGCCAGAGACGGAGTAAACTGGCATATGCGAAACTAGCCTTCTGTATCCGTGCTGAGATTTTGTCAGCAATCAACCCGCTGGTACTAGCTGATGCAACTTCCCAAATAAGTGAAGTGGTCAACGTGCTCTACCACCACTTCACTCCATATTTCTTAGTTATCGTCTAACTTGACTAGAGTGAGCCTACAGCCTACAACTAAACTGATCACTTGAAAATATTCTCCACACACTGAGATAGATGCAAAAGTCATATGTAACTGTGACAGCCGCCGCCACCGCAACAACTTTACTATTCACAATACATGGCATATATATATATATATCGTTTACACATCCACGGAAATTAAAACCATCTATAAATAATCCATATCTGACTGACTGTATGACCTTGAAGTCCCGCAAAAATAAACCAACCAAAAACTGTCCAATCAGTTTAGCGCGTCAATGCGTGCATCGATCACAACTTCACGGTGAACAACGATAGGTTGTCTCGTCCGAACAAATGCTAATGACAGATTGAAACATATATCAGTATTCTTCTGCAGATGAAATCAACTCATTTCTGGGAAACTTTACACACCAAATACAGTATTTTGCTGATGAGATTCGAATTATTTGAGTTCAATTGCCCGAAACAAGTGTTTTATTCACCAGACTAAGAGACAAACTTATCACATGGGGGCTGGTGATACACCGTTGCCTAGTTGTCCAGATGGAGAGGGCTTCGAACTAGTAACCGACTGGATGAAAACTTAACACTTGAGCAAATGAGCCACACCTTCATTCAAGTGAATTCTAGTCAACAGCGGTGGGAATACTGAATCAACGCAAATAACATATAATATACGCTTGATTACTAAATAAAGATCGCTGTTAAATGTGATATTCCTTTTTTTATACAGCCAACCACAAAGATAAAATAGTAATCAGTAGATTTATGAAAAACCTTTGGTACTTCAATCGATAACACAATCGATAAACAAAAATGCTGCTATGTACTCAAATTTAATCTAATAGATAATAATTAAACAATTGAGATTATTTTTAACAGTTGATTTGTAAGGATTAGATTTGTTTTTTCGAGTTTGACCAGGGATCGATATCAGCTAGAGAACCATTGAGAACTAGCTGGGAGTACTGGACAGCTGTTTCGTCAGCCTAGTTTCAGAAACATCACCAGCACGCACCCAATGCCGAGGTTCGAACCCAGGACCTTCTGGTCATAGGAAAGGAGAACGATGAGTTGGGCATGGATCCGAGGGTGACGTGGAGGAGATCGTGTGAGGGGGGAAGGTGAGAGACTATGGGCAATCGTAGGGTCAGCTGAAGAGGACTGCAGAGGACAGGACGAAGTGGAGATGTGTTGTTGAAGCCGTACGTTCCACCCGGAACCCAAGGGAACAATAAATAATAATACAACGAACAGTACCCAAGTTCCAAACTTACATTAAGTACTCTTCAGAATTATATAATTGATGCGAACTACAAACACTCCCTACTAGGTTAATCACTTTCAAAGAATTAATATCTTTTGATAAAATAATGTTTGATGACATTATTAATTAGGCTACACAGAACCAAAAATATATACATAAACCAAGTCAATCTGATGTAACAGAACAGATCCGATTCGTTACCTACATTCCTTCCTCGCCTTCCTCGACGGGCAATGTTAGCTGACATAGGATAGATCAGGTTGGAAAAGAGCCAGTGGTGGTCAAACCAAAACATGGCTTTATCAATCAATGAAATCCACAACAGTTAGTTTAACCCAGCCAGCCACGCAGGGAGATGTAGACTTCTTGGTTGGTGTCCTCGGGACAGTGAACACCAATGGCTGGAAACAATCGGTGATATGGCTCAAAATTGTTGTCAATGGCTGACGCAGATGCATCCATTCCTTTTAAAGAAATAAACACACTACTTAATTTAATTACAAGCATATTTATAACAGGAAAATTGAATGAATCACCTTCCTACCAAAAAGCCCCGAAGGGAGATTCAAATCATTTTAAAAAGTATCATCAGTTTGTGTAACCGTTCAGGTGTAGTCCTTGCTACAAAGGTATCTAAATATATCAGCAGTTCGTTCCGTCCTCCTTTACAGGTGTGAGTGAGACATACATGGCCAATGAAATTGGAAGACACCAAAGAGCTAGCTGTCTTTGACTATAAATGTGTCCGTTTTATCTCCCGTGTCAAGTGTTATAATAATAATAAGGGTGAGTAATACTGGGGTTACGCGTCGAATATTAGGTGAGGATGGAAAAAACAATCGATAAGGTGTAACAGATTCCTAGCCATAGCCTTCATCGACAGGAAATGTTAACTGGCCATGTAGGGAAGACTGCTGGACTGGTTGGGGTCTTCGGGATTCTAAGAGCCAATGACAGACAGCTGCAGAAAATTGGTGATATGGCTCGAAACCGTTCTCAATGGCTGGCGCAGATGCATTCACACTTTGTAATCTACCATATTCAATAACACCCTATTGTTTTTCCACTACTGTTTTTTCCTCTCTTTTGTGTGATACATGGAGTGTGTCAACTCTAACTGCTGCACTTTTGTGCAAAGTTCTATGTTGAAACCAGTTAGTCAGTCAGTCAGACAGTGGGTCAGTCAAATATATCACAACGAAGTCAGTGGAAAAACAACCCTACACAGTTGAACTTCCATACTTGATTTTGAGACATTTACGTGAAACAAAATTAGTTGAGACAATAAATAAATCTGATGCTCGCTAGTGACTTGCTACCGGACGGAGTTAGCCGCCTGGAGTTCTAGTGAGAAGTCATAACCAGTGAGGTCCATCCAGTCGGTAGTGAGGATGGAGTCCCCACCGATGATATTGGCTGGGGTGGTAGCGCTAAAATCACGAATTGGTAGAAATTAGAATTCATGGGCTGGTCATTGAGGAGCCGGGTCCCAGTGGCTGAATGGTATACAAGCTTGCCTTGTAACCGGAAGGTCCTGGCTTCGAGCCCTAGCGGTGGGTGAGCACTGCTGATGATTCCCAAACTAGGTGGGAGGAAACAGCTGTACGGTTCCCCCAACTGGTTTTCAATGGTTCTCTAACTGATAACAATCCGTGGTCAAACTCGTAAAAATAAATCTTAATTTACATTGCAGAAAACACAACTAATTGTCATAATACATGTTTTGTAGTTAACATCAGTTTTGTAGCACAATACAATTTGAACAAAATAACAACAGACGAGGTAGACGTCCGAAAGGAAGTCCGAGTGACACAGTCCACTATCGACTTTTTCTAAATATGCAGAGAAGATTGACTAGAAGGTATGAACGATTGAAGACGTCAAAGCATTGTGTGAAGCCATCAGCGTGTCTATCTTTAAAGTAGGGTTCACAACCATTTAAGTATACCCGCTTTTTACTAGTTACATCAAGAACATTGGTTATTATTATCATTTTTCAACCAACTCTATTCCTCTGGTGCAAATCAGGCAGAATCGACATCACAGTGGCTTAATGGTCTACGAGCTTGCCTTGTAACCAGAAGGTCCTGGCTTCGAACCTCCGTGGGTGTGTATTGCTAAAGAGGAAACAGCTGTCCAGTACTCCCTGGTTTTCCAATATTTCTCTAACTGATGTCAGCTAATGATGCAATCCTCCAACCAATCACACATAATCTGTACAAACCAATACTTGAAGAATTGATATCTACTAAACACGGAGGGGAAGGAAACCTAGGCACCACTAATGTTTGACAAAATAGTTGTGTTATTGCCAGAGTAGATTGTGCTACTGACAACATTTATCAGTAGTAAGTAAAGGGACATTCATCGGCACAAAAATATCAAATAGAGGAGAGATAGATTTGATGTCAAAGAGAGGACATGAACCAATA